TGTATCTTTTCTGTTATCAACAAGTGGTTTTTGAATTACATTCCTCTGTCCTATAGTGAAAGCATTACGAGCAGGCCAGTCTTTTTTTACATAATGAAGATTCTTATCTCGACTGTCCCATTCGCACAAGAAACAGCTATATTTTGTAAAACCAAGTTGTAACCCAGTAAGAAGAGCAACAACTTTTAGGTCGGAACATATGTACCAATTGTGTTCGGAATATTTTATGCGTTGCAACACAATTCTCATATTTTCATAGTTCTCTTTCATAACTTTTGAATATGCTACAGGAACTGAAGGATATGTATTACCGTTATGTAAGAGTACGGCTTTCAATCCAGATTTTGAAGAATCTATAAAGAGCCTCCAATTTTCTGGTTTGTACTCTATTTTTAGAGCTTCCATTAAATCCCAAATGTCGTTACAATAGTTTAAGTTGTTGTCATTACTGAATAACTCAGAAAATTTTTTTTCGCGGTGCCTAAAAACAGACGTTTTTGTACCCGATAACAGCAAGTTCCACTGTTTCAATCGAGAGCCTAAAAGTTGGGATTTGTCTTTAGTTAATTCTAAATCCCTACAAAGATTATTTAAAGTTTTTTGATCTATTAATTTTGGCTGCATTAAATCTAAAAGTGCAGATTCTTCAGCTTCAACTGCAGCTTCCTCTTCATTTTCATCTTTATTCGACATAGATCCACAGTCATTTTCTATATCCATCTGAGGAAATTCATATTCAGACTCAACCTTTTGCTCTGATGGAACTGGTACAGGAAGAATATCACTATGAGGCAAAGGATGGTGTGCTGATCTTAAGTCAGGATAATCGAGTTTTTTCTTGTTGTATCGATTAACGCCTGAAACATTTACTAAACAAAAATAATAATCATCTATATGATTTTGTTGTTCCTTCCAAATCATAGGAACTGCGAATTTCATTGACATTGGAGCACCTTTTAACCAGCCCAACAGACGTCGGAAACAATATGAGCAACAATAGTTCGGCATATAATTCTTATCTAAATTTTGAACTTCACGATTGAAGTATAAAGCATATGCTCTCTTCACCGTGGACGTCATAATTCTCTCTTGCCTTTTCAGCATATACGAACCACATATATAGCAAAAAGAATTTGCAGAATTTACGCATTTTCTGGGCATTGTATTTTGAGAGCGGAAAAAATTGTACAAATTAAATAAATAAAATTTAAATCAAATAAATAAACGTATTTGAAAATATACTCTTTAGTATATATATACAAGGTGTCAATTAAGTCCCGGGACGGCTGAATATTTTCTCATGTAAGGTATTTTTGAAAAAGGTCAAAGTCATTTCTGAAGTAATTTTCGACGAGGAATTCAACGGTGACCTTCAATTTGACCTTGAGCTTGACCTTTAAGGTCATTTCAAGGTTAGGTTAAGTTAGGTTAGGTTAAGTTAGGGGTAAATTATCCCGCTTGTAAATTATCCCGCTTTCGGAATGAAAACTACCCTGGCCAGTTTCCATGCGCTGGGTGTGTAGCCCATCGCGATACAAGCCCTTAAGGTTCAGGTCAGTGGGCCCACGATCTGTTCCAGTCCCTCTTGTAGAAGAGCCGGAAAGATAACATCCGGTCCCGCTGACTTGTAGGACTTAAAGGTGTTAATTGCCCACTTGACCTTCTCGGGCATGACAATCTTGGCCGCCATTCGCCAGTCCGCTTGTCGGGCTCTTTTGAGTGAGCCCGGCTCCTTATATGCAAATAGCTCTCCCTGCTCCCTATGGAAGCCCGGAAAGCTCACTTCCAGTAGATGCTCCAGACATTGCTCTCCAGTCACCACCGTCCCATCAGGGAGTGCGATCGCCTCCAGAGTCGCATCCGGGTTCCTAGCAAGGATCCTGCAGATTCTTGCCGTTTCAGGCATTCCCTCTACTTCCTCGCAAAACTTCCTCCAGCTTTCCAGTTTCACCCTAACCACAGAGTCTCTATATTCTTTCTGTGCCCTCCTAGAGAGCTCCTAGTCGGATTGGCGGCCCGTGTTCCTGGCTCTGTTCCAGGCCCTACGAGCCGCCACTCTGAGACCCTGCAATCCAGGGGTCCACCAGGAAGTTCCTCTACTATTTGTAACCGCCCTTTCGGGGCAGTTACTTTTGTAGCAGTTTACCAGAGACCTCTGCAAGTAGTCCACACAGGTCTCCAGTTTGTCCTCTGTCCCGTGCCTCTTAGGGAAGCCTTTGAGACTGTTGGCCAGGTCTTCCCTATAGGAGTCCCACTTGGTTTTCCTCGGATTCCTGAATTTGACCTTCTTCCCCCTAGCCTTAGCTATCCTGAAGGTGATCTGCCTATGGTCAGAGAGCGAGGGCTCCGTCGAGACCCTCCACTCCACTACCTCCTGTATCAACTGCCTGGAACAGACAGTGATGTCGAGCACTTCTCTTCTCGCTATAGTGCAGAAGGTGGGCTCGTCTCCTGTGTTGAGGATCTCCAGATCCGTAGATGCTAGAAATTTCAACACTTTCCTCCCTCTTTCATTGGTGTCCGAGCTTCCTCACACGGTGTGATGCGCGTTAGCGTCACATCCCATGATCAAGGGAAGCCGTTTCTCCTGGCAGTATTCTGCCAGTTTTATCACCAATGCAGGCGGCACCGCCTCCCCCTCGTCATGAGAGAAGTAGGCCGAGCAAATAACCATTTTCTTTCTGTCACCGGAGTCATCAGTGAAATTCACTTCTACAGCCGCAACGTCCCTGGAACACAGGTGAAATATCAGCTGGGCTTCCATACCCTTGACGGCCACGCAGGCCCTGGGCCGGTCCACTGATGGGGCCCTAAACATCCTACCGCAGGCCGCCAAACCCCTGATGCAACCTCGGATTACCCAGGGTTCTTGCATCAGTGATATGCATGTTTGTCTCCCAGCTTGTTGCCTGGCCAAAACAGCCGAGGCCCCTTTGCTGTGATGCAGATTAATCTGGGTGAAGGCTACCCCTCTCGATCCCGCCATTTGGCTGCGAGACCGTTTTAGGGGGCTCCTCCTTATCCCCCTTTACCCCCTCCCCTGGGCTCCACTTAGCCGAAAGACAACCTTGTCGAGCCCAAAGAATGGTCTGAAGTCCTGTGTCTTCAATTTGAGGACACTGGACCCCGAGACACCGAGGACTAGGTTCCCACCCTTCCTGGTGGCCCCTACCCCCTCCGCGAACACTTTCCAGCTCCCGGTGACGAGACCCGGGTTCTGCTTCTCCAGCCGCTTTAGGACCGTGGCCGCGCCCCCGGGAAGTCCCGGGACCCAAACCACCGCCCTGTGCTGCTTTTGAAGCGCGTCCAAGCCCATCACCTTGAGCTTGGCGCCCTCCCACGGAATGATGCCGCCGATCCGCCCCACGAGCCAACCCAGCGACGCCTCATCCGCGCATCTTACCACCGCCGCACCACTCCTTAAAGAAGTGCCGTGGAATCTGGGCACCGGAACCTCCTGGATCCCGTCGATCTCTTCCAAGACCGCACCCCTCAACAGAGTCAACTGCTCAGCAGTGATCTCTGTCTCGGGGTAGCCCTCCGCCACAATCATCCTCGCCAGAAGGTCAGCAGCGTCCGAGTAAGCATGTTGCCCGTCGCGAGTCCTTTGCCTTTTCAGCGGACGGCCGCCCGATGGAGGGGTATCCTTGGAACCCTTCCGACGTTTACCGTCGGCGTGCCCCTTCACCACTTCCACCGGCGTACAAGGGGAAGCCACGGGAAGAGAGCGAGCCCCTTCTAAAGCCGCTGCTCTCATCTGTTTCGCCCTCCTTCTTTCGGCCCCGCACCGATTCTTCTTTGCTGGAGGTGAAACCTCCTGCCCGCGCAGCCGGGGCCCGGGCCCTCACTTCCGGAGCCCTTAAGGGTCCCGTCCGTCACCACCGTCCCAGCTCCTTCCCTCGGAGACCCGTCACGCGAGCCCTCCCGACTTCCCACTTCGTTCTCTACGTTTAATATTAAATCTGAATCCATAGTGGTCCCACGAGTAGCTAGGGAACTACACGGTCCGCCCACGCAGAGCCCCGCATGCGTGGGTAAGGCTGGATACTCTGGGGTTTCGCCCGGTTCCCCAGAGGCATCGTTCGCGACACTGCTCCCCCAGTGACATGCAGCCATCGCCACGATGGCTTACAACTTGGCTTGGGGAGCTGGTCCGCGGCAACGGTCTTTCCTTACCCTCCACAGGGTTTTACTCCGTGAGGCCAGGTTATAACTGCCACTACCCAGCAGCACTGAGTCCCCTCAGAGAACTCACACCCTACTGGGGCCGTCCTCCTATCCCGCCACCTTGGAGACGCGCCCGGTGGGTAGCTCAACCCCCGGGTTTTTGGTATAAAGTTTTCAAAAATCCGTTAATTTCTTAAATTTTTTAAATTTTTGGCGGCCATATTAGATCCGCCATTTTAGTTTAGACTCATGTGACAGTGCACAGATAAACAGAGTACTCGAAAGTGTTAATTGGAAGAGAAAAACGTCGAATAAATAATCGCTACACTTGAATAATTACCGTTTTTATTATTTTTTTTCGGTTTTCTGAAATTTTAAGTATGTTTCAATTGAATTTGATAATTTTGCCACGCGCCATTGGAAAGCTTACATTTTTCTGTAAATTTTAAGATTTTTTCAAAAATTTTTAGATTGAATAGAAAATGGGCAGCATGGGTGTAAAGTTGAGAAAGAATGCCCCATATATATATATACATATAATACTCCTATATGGCTAGTTGAGCTCTCAGCGGAGATCCAACACTACGGTGCAGACAATGCTCGTTCTGTTTTTATCACTGTTCAATTTGCTTTAAAGCGCAGGCGTGACATTTGTCTATGACGCCATATTGATGAAAATATTATAACCACGAAATTTACCGTCTGTTTAGTACGAGGAGTATATACAAGATAATACAAAGATTCTGTCGCGATAATAAAAAAAATACAAGTTAGTGAAAATGATGAGATATTTAGAAACAATATTTAGAAACATATTTTAGTGCAATACGATTTCGAGGAGGTTTTAATGGGAGCTTTCCATCTAGGAGACACAGATCGACACTGTGTGACACGGTCAAACACGTGCTTGGATACTTGATGGAATGCGTTTAGTTTTGAACTAGACTGCTAAAGTGTGCTTATGTCTTCCCATGATATCTAGTAAGTTCATTTAATTGAAAAATTGGCGTACCAAGAGCATATTGGCATATTTAAAGTACGTACAAATCAAACATAACTATCATTAATTATTGTTTACGATCGCGATGAGTATAAATATATTTTGCAGATGGATAAAATGAAAATTCTCTAGAATACCATCCCAAAAATTGGCAGCCATGAACTAGACTCTGTGTTTGACTATGCTTTTCTGCTGTGTCGAACCGTGCCGTGGCGTGTCATTGTTGGAAAGCACCGTGTCTGACACTGTGTCAATGTGTGTCGCCTAAATGCCTTGATGGAAAGCTCCCAATAACAACCCAAACGCGCTACAATTTAAAAGCGCATATAAACGGCTATTAGTGCGACATAAAATAAAAGAAGTAGAAAATGGCAATTGTCTTTTCGATAATGTAGAGATTTTACATGTATCAAGCAAAAACTTAAAATGCCCCATCGTTGATACGATTTCTTTAAATAACATAAACGTTGATTTTGCTTATGATTATGTAAACGTATTTTGGGATTTATCTCCATACGTAGAAAATGTCGTGTTTTACATAGCAGGATATGTATGTAAAAAAATATACAGTAAAATAGACTGTTTGCTTTGCAAATCAGAATTGTTAGGCACTAACATACCATTGCTCTCAGCTATTAAGAATAGGGGGCCTTACTTAACACCAGCTCCAGACATTTGTTCCATTTGTCAAACAGCTGAGAAAGTCATTCGGCAAAATTTGCATCGTATTAATATTAAAAATATTAAACCAATTTTATTTAATGATATTTTCCAAAAATAGAGATTTCTTTTGATAACGACAATATGCGTGATCATATTATGACACAAGATATTTTAGACAATCATCGAACACAATTATGTAAATCTATTATAACACTTTATTTAAATATTCGATTATTTTTGGAAGCAAAGGACATGTCTCAAAAGAGTGAATATTTACGAAGTAAATATACTAAATATACTAAACTAAATATACTAAATATACTAAACTAATTTTATACAAAAATCAGTAACTTTGTACATTGTTTTATAAGTCGATGTAAATACATTTTACTTTTTCATAAAATATTTGGTGTCACTTGTATGTTATTGCATCCTATGTTCTATTGCTTATTTTATTATGCTATTATTAATATACTATTATTATTATTTTTTATTACTGCATTACAAATTTTAACGCTTTTTTCATTTTATTTTATATTGCACTTTCACTTTCTTGTAGAATAGTTTGTACATATTATTTTTTTACATCATACCTTGAATATATTTTACAAAAAAATAGTAAAATTTTATGTATAATTTTTTGTAATAAGAAAATAAAACATTATAGATATTTTCTATATTTATTTTTATTAATTTATTACAAACTAATTAGTTTGTTATTAAATCTTAAAATTTTGCTGCCACGCTTGCGCATTTATGATTATTGAACACTCTCTCCCACTCTTGCCTAGAGAGCCAATAACCGTCTATCTTCTATCCTTCAGTGTTGGGTCAAGTCCCGCTTATAGGAATCCTGCTCAACTAGCCATATAGGAGTATTACATATATGCACAGCACGCTCGCGCTTGCTTGCTTGATCGCGCGCCATCTCTCAGCATCATTCTTAACTAAAATCCAAACAAGATCCTTTCTTGAAAAGACTGATTACTGGGGACGAAAGTTGGATTTTTTACAACGTAAAATGTAAACGAACATGGTCCAGTCGGGATAAAAGCCCTTTGCCTGTTGCCAGAGCCGGCCTTCACCCAAAGAAGATTTTGTTATCAATCTGGTGGGACTGGAAGGGTGTGGTATATTACGAATTGTTTCCACCCAACCAAGTCATTAATTCTGAAAAATACTGCTCCTAACTCGACGAACGAACTTAAAGCTGCGATATCCAGAAAACGTCCGGAATTGATTAATAAGCGAGGCGTTGTCTTCCATCACGGTAACGCTAGGCCGCATGTCTCTTTGGCCGTTTGAAACAAGTTGATGTCGTTTGATTGGGATGTTCTATTTCATCTTCCTTACTCTCCGGCCCTCGCTCCTTCTGATTACTATTTATTCCTTTCTTTAAAAAATTTTCTTTGTGATAAAAAATTTTACTCTTTGAATGACTTATTTCTTAAATAAAATATTTTATCATATTTAGTTTATATCTATTAGACACATTGTATAAGCCTATTTCGTCTCGTATGTACACACAGTCACAGGAATGCCTTAACACATGAATTTGTCAACAAGTGTCAAGGCACATTTGAATAAAAAATCACCTCGATCAATATTTTGCCAGTAAATCAAAGACATTTTGGAAAAATGGCATCATGAGGCTTCCAAAAAGATGGACAAAGGTGGTAGAGTAGAATGGCTCGTATATACTTCAATAAATTGTGTCGTTCATAAAAGGTTGAGTATTTAATTTTTAGTAAGAAAACGAAAAGAACTTTTGGGACAACCTAATACTATACATCTAATTGGAGAAAAATGTTATATGCTTTTCTTATTTTTATTCTTATGTAATAAATACAAAATAAATAAATAATTAATTAATTGATTAATTCATACACACATTGAATATATACAGGGTGTCTGGTAATAATCGCCCCACTGGTCATATACAGGTAGAGGAGGTCAAATCGAGTAGAAAAGTCCTTTACCATTTTTTGATTTTTGTAATAAGTACTAAGTAATTAATGAAAAAAGATTGGTGAATCCGTGCAAGTAAAGCGCGCGCAGCGAGAAGGACATCCCACTGCTATGCGATCACTAGGCGCGCGATGAAGCGTTGGGAGGAGCGCTCTACAAATGACAATGGCAACATACGAGCGGCGCGT